TTCATCAAATCCATTTCAAAATTTTATATATGTTCTTAATTCGTTTAAAAACTTTTTGCAGTTATGACTTTACTCTGTATTCATATTTGCAAAAATTAGTTTTTGTGTACACGGAAGACTAAGCGTTCGAGCAAAAAACATGCGTTAAGTGAAGCAAATTCTCGTATTAGTCAGAGAAGGGATATTAAAAGCTTCTTTGCGTCTTTTTTTTCTCAGGGCAAGTGGAGAAGTTGTGAAATGAATACCTTTTCCACAATCGGCCGCTGGGAAGTGTTTGTTATTTCAAAGGCATAAAAGCATGAAAATATGAAGGAACACCGAAATATTCTAAACAAGTAGCCGGTGTTTGTAAACAAAAACGTTTTCAATATAAATATTCGGCTTTAATTTACAAAACGCTTTGCATTGCATTGGAAGTTGTTTGTATTTAATTTCTTTTGCTTCTAAAGTCATATGATTTCGTATCATACTTAAGTTTGGATTTCAATTGCAATGACATCCAACATATTGACACAAGACTTGAAATTACAAAAAAAAATTGTTTTTTCATTCTTATCTTCATTGTAATCAATACAGCTATGCACGCATACGTACCATATATTGCTATATAAGCGCAGTAAGTACACTAAGTTCAAATTGTCAAGAGATCTTTTATTTAGACTCGCAAGTGTGTAATACTTAGCGCGACTAATTTATTTATATGCGTCTTCTGATATATAGGCATGTTCGGAGGTTAGTATGTGTGTGCGTGTGCGTGTGTGAGCGTTTGCAAATGAGTATATTGACAAAAATTGAATAAACATTGTCTTTATTTACGAATTTGTATGCAAATTTTATACGTTTTTTCAGCTACATATGTACATAGTTTATGGGCTTTTTAGCGCAACAACAACACAACTCAAGCAAACGCGAACAAATATAACCGATATTTAAGGTGCGTGCGCATTAACAAACGTCAAATAATCATTGAAAATGCCAAGATAATGTGTACAAATGTATTCATATACATATACATACATACACACACACATACACACATATATGAATATATATATATATATATATATATATATATACATATATATGGAAATGTAAGGAAAGAAAAAAAATTAAGCAGTGGGCACTATGTGATGTGATGGGTTATCTGGCACCGCAACCATTATCTACAACGCCACAAAATCACAACAAAACACGTAGTAAGTCTAAACTGTCAATTTGACAAATGTTTGCTTAAAATCGATGGTGACTGTTTGCTTCGTACACACACACACGCATCGACGATAATGTTTTATCGCCAAAATTAAACTTTGTTTTTTCCCTTCAAAAGCTTTTGCACAATAAAACTCGAGAACTACAAGGAAAAAATATTCTTTAAAATTCGTTCAAATTATGTTTTACAAAAAAAAAAAAAAAAAAAAAAAAATTAGCATTCCGTAGAAAATCTTTTATTTATGCAAATGCTCGACAAAAAACAACATTTTTACAAATGCGTTAAATTTATTATTTATCTCGATTGATTTATGTGTTTATATACAATTTTTCTCTTTTTCTTAAATTTCTATCAATTTTTGTGCATATTTTTGTTGATACAAAAATGAAAACGACCACATGTAAATTGGAAATATTACACATTTCGTCCATTCCCATGTCGACGACTCTCTCGTTACAGTTGTTCGTTATTATTTATTTTGAACAATAAGATGCATTCTTTTGTTGGTATTGCAACCAACACTCTTCTAACGCCTTATCCGGATGTTTATGCTCAAGAATTTTATAAACAATAGAAGAAAAAAAGGAAAAAATTCACAAGCTTGTGTGTTGGAATGTACAAATGTATGGGCTGTGTTTACTTTCACCTAGTTAAGCAGACGTTTTAACAATTTCTTGAGACGTAAACTCTTAAAAAGGGTAGCGTTTGGTTGCTATTACATCCAAACACAATTTTTTTGTGAAATTCATTTATAATTAAAAATAAGTAAATAAAAAAACGCAATCGTAGGTCACGGGCCACCATTAAATAACTAACACAGCAATCATTCACATAATGAGTTGTCAAGATAAGAACTCTTATGGAAAGTGGCCGGAAAAATGCTTTGATCCGAACTATTTTCAGTAGTGTTTATCTTCCGCCCAAATCGGTTCGATGGATCATCAAATTATCTTAAAAATTGCCACTTGAGGGTGAAACGGAGATGTATAAGACGAACAGAAAATAGGTGAGACAAAGTTTTGCATTATTTTCATTTAACTTAACAGACCTTCTAAACTCTTTCATTTTTATATCACTAATGCACACTTTTAAAAAAGGTTGGTAAATATTGTTTGTTGGTTGGATATGTATTTAAGGAAGCTTTAATACATTATTATAACGAAAATTGTTACTACAAGGTCAGCCTAGATTGTTTTCGACTCGTTTTCTCATTACTGAATCAACCACTGCAGCACCTTTCGCCTTGTTCATCTCTTTCGCAGAATTGCCTTTGACAGAACTGTCTTCATATTCATTGCAAACTTTATAAAATTTCCGCAGCTAAGCATAAATTTTCTGTTCTGTTGTAATAAAGCAGAAGAACTTGTGGGTAAAGAAAAGGAAGGATGCCTACTATAATGCCTGCGTCGTCTTCGGCAACACTCCAGAAATATTAATGTTTACAGTGCAGGAAATGGAACAGCTACTGCAGTCCACGTCTCCTCTCTGCCCCCTAAGGTCAGGTGTGACTTGTAAGCTCTATAAGTTAGTGAATATATTATACGTAACTTTGCCTACATTATCGCCAAAAGTCTTTGCAGATGATATTCTGATTAAAACCTGAAAATCTCTCGATAGTATCAAGACGTCCAAACGAAAAAGGAATCCTTAGTATTAAAGCGAGATAACAACACGATCGATCTAATCATGCTTAGATCTAGAATAACCATCTACACTTAATTAACATTTTATTTAAAGGGCTTCTTTCTCTTATCATATGCTGATCTTGGAATCGTAAACGAGATGAGCACGAAAAAAAAAAATACATTGTTCCAATAAGTCGTTGAGTATACTTATAAAAATTATTGATTTACTAACTTCGCTTAATAAAATCACTTAGGTAAAAACGAAAGAACTTTATAAAAATTATAAACAACTTATTAACACAAAAAAGTAACTCAAATATTTGTGAATTCGATTATTTGAGTAAACATGGATTGTTTAAGGAAAATTTTCGTTTTTCGATTGATTGCTGAAGTAAAGCAACGAACAAATAAGTGAGAAGAGCGCCTCTGCATATAATCCATTGAAGCACGTGAACAAACTGCCTAACCCGCAAAGGCATTTTTATATCAATAAATCGTATATATGTAAATATATATATATATTTCTGGGAATATAAATATACCAAATGCGCGACTTATAGACTTAGAAAATGCTGTCGGGCAAAACGTCGAGATGATTTGCTTTATATAGGACCAACTGGAAATAAAAATTAGTTAGGATGGGTTAAAGAAGCATTGCTAAAACCTACTCAAAGTTATAGGCGGTGAAAAGAGCAGCGGCAATTAGATCATGATAGCTTATGGCAGGTTCCTTTTCGGTGTTCATTGTCAGAAATCTTATGAATAAATTGCATTTCAACTTTAGGACTTGCATCTGTAGGGTTGGGCCTTTTAATGCAGAATTCACCTGCAGTCATGTGTGCTTATCCTCTCAAAAAGCTCAACTTTTGGTGACTGGCATGGATCTTCCAATAATGAATTCGATTACTACATCATCGTACTTAGGCCGAAAATAAATAAAAAATCAATTCTAAAGCTATAAGAATTACGAAAGATTCAATCGAAGAGGGCAGACTACTTAGGGTCTACAAAATCAGAAGACAAGAAAAATCGTGTCATCAATGGCGAATTAAGTTCATTGGTCATCAATACGAAGTCGGACTGCAATGGATATAAACAGGAGTAAATAAGGAGTCGTTTTCCTTTAAAATTTTTTTTTTTTTTTGGTCGACAATTATTTTGGACGAATGTCACTCCCTCTTTCCTTTCCTTTTTTTGTAAGAAAATTTTTTTTAAAAGTCTGTTAAGCAGCAGAGTGGAAGGTTTGGATAGCGCAGCTGACGTTTGAGACTTCTTTAAAATATCGATCTTGTTACTCTGCTTGGCTTGCTTTAACAATTACCTTCCTCGCAGTGTACTGTCCCTCACACAAAAGCAAAAAACAAACTGAAACCTGTTGCACATTTTTCTTTATCGATTAGGGAGTTTCCGGAGCTGTATCTAACGTCATGTGAGGCTTTTGATTAATAAGAAAAACAATGAATCTTGTTGTATACGACGGACCTTTCATTCATATCCCGTAGGCTTACTACGCATAGTACCCTTGTAAAGGCTACACCAAACCATTAGACTATCAAATCGTTGGACCGTCACGCTCGTGTTCGAAGTCTGCAGAGGTCAGTTTATATATTCTTAAAAAAAAAAAAAAATGTATTGCTCACATATATACCCGTTAGAGTTATATAAATTGTTATTAAACTCGCCGTACAAATGTCTGCTCAGCTTAGCCCATCCAACTTTTAATTTTTAATTTTTTTGTTGGTTTATTTATTTAGCATTAATTGCTTTTAATATTACTTACGGAAAAAAATTTTCTTATAACGTATACCTCTGACTTACATACTATTTACATCTATATATATACGATATTTATATTATTATAATGCGTGAGTTCACTCAAAAAGTGGGTTGCTTGGAATGAGTCGCAAACGATGCTCTCAACACAAAAAAAATTGAACATTAAAGAGTGTTCTAAGAAAGAAAAGTTTAGATGAACTCATCGATGATGTCATCATAAGTAAGAAAGAAAGAAAAAATAAATAATTATTATTATTAACGCAATTGACTTAAACTAAGGAAATAAATTTCAGAACAGAAAAGTAATAGTTAAGACCATCGGTTTTATTTTTGTTTTTTTTTAAATAATAATATATTAAAAAGTCTCTTAAAAAGTCTCTTATACTTACAAAATCTTTCCCTGGTTTGGAAATCAAAATGAAGTAATCACCTAAAAGTAAAAAAATTTTAAAAACACTTTAGTTTCTTGTTCTATAACGAACTCGTACGTAAAAAAGAAAAAAAATCATAAAGAAATATGAGCGCTAGGCTACTATCGAAATGGCAAAACAACAATTCATATCGTGCTGGGCACTTTCAAGGGACATATGTATGTACATATATATATATAACTAAGATCGTACACTGTGTCGATGATTGAATTATAGCAATACGACTAAATTGAACAAAAATAAAAAGAGAAAAGAAAAATAAGAAACTTAAAGATGAAAAATAAATATAAATTCAAAAAAAAAAAAAGTAAATAAATAAATAAATAAAAGATTTATGATTAGTTATAGAAGGAAATGTATTGCAATTGTAATAGAAATCAAACAAAAAAAAAGAAAACGAAGAAAAAAGATTTTTTTTTTTTTTTTTTTTTTTTTGTAGCAGTTACAGCATACGAACGCTATGCCAAATGATTCGGGAGATGAAACACACAAACGCATATATACATATACAAACAAGTAGACATGATTCTTGATGAGTGTACCGCATTAATGGGTGCAGTCGCTGAGTGAATAGAGAAGAACATGAACAACCACGGATTTGCATGTCGAAAATCTATAAATTCTTAAGTTGAATGCATAACAACAGCGGCAAGCGCAATAGTAACCAAAAATTGCATATAATTTTTTTTTTTTTTTTTCGCAGAGTAAAGCAATAAAGGCAGCCAGCTATAAGCAATAAGTGCCGTTTGTTGCAAATAAATAGATTCAACGACTATTATATTCTTTCGATTATAAATAAATGCGCAAAATAAAAAAAAAACTGAGAAGCAATTAAAAATTTTTTTATAATAAAAGCCCACACTTCGTTTGATATTTACAGCAGAAGTAGAAGCAGAAGCAGAATCTGCATCAGCATCACCAACATAAGCAGCAGTAGCAGCAGCACGTGCTGCATGCAATGGCTGTACTTCGTTAGATGGGCCGATCAGTTTTATAAAAAGTTGATTGAGAATTGGAAAGTAATGTTTGTAATGTTTGTAATGTATCTCCAAAAAAAATTTTTTACTAATACTGTTTACAAAGCCTAATCTTTGCTTGTAAGCGATATGTTAAATTTGAAAGTGAGTCAAGTTCATTAGTTAAAAAAAATAATTAAATTTTGATTGTTATTACAATATATATATATATATATATATGTATATATATATATGCACATACATATGTACAGCGCAACAGAAAACAATACTTTTAAGGGTCTAGTCAAAGTCAGACATGGTGGTGTAATGCGTCCCCAAGTCCCATAGCATTAACAAGATAAAAAGGTCAGGTGATAGGAGGTAGTAACGGATCAAGGTAGATGCCCTTGTAAAGCCCACGGCTTTCTACATCCAGCCCCACTCAAGGTATATATACCACGCCTCGCATCAATTGTCGCTGCATCAAAAAGTAAGAAAGTTTCAGCCAAATTAAGCCTATTTTGAAAAAATTTGACTTGTCCTACTGTGAAAATTAAAGGCGTGGCATATTAACAAGAGTTTTTCTAATTTTTTCATTGATATCTTTACTTGGGCTGTTAAGTGAACTTTTGTTTCGATTTCATTAGTTCCCCTCGTTACTATTCGCTTTGATCTTCCTTCGCGCAATCGTACTTAAGCAAATAAATTATATTTTATGTTTTACACATTATACTGTAGGTTAAGATTATTGCTGCTTCGAATGATAGGCTATTGCTTCTAGAGCCTCACATAATTTCACTTTATTGTCTTTATTACTGTCCTACGTTGGAAATGCTTGCCTATATATATATATATGTTTGCTATAGCGTATATGTATAACATGAAAATAATGATTGCGATAATTGTTATGACAAAAGTCATTACCGTATAGCACGCATAAGCGTGTAGGTGTCATATAAAACATACAGAGACAGCTTTATGGTAACATTTTCATTGCCCTCTGGTACCCAAGTTTATTTATCTTATGATGCTTGCTCGCACCACTAACTTTATCTTAGTCCGTTTTCATTTTCTGTTTTTTTTTTTTTTTTTTTGATGCATTTAAAAGTGTTTAACTAAGTAATACTTGATGACTTAGACGGATACTGATGATACAACCTAACATTGCAAAACGTTAGCAAACTAACAATCATTACTATAGCACTCATATAGCTATAGTAATAACTATTTGCTGTTGTTGAGGGTAAGGTGTTGGTTGGTTTCAGAATATAGGGAGTGTTTTATTAAATGTATGCACATATGCAACTAAGTAATGGATTTGTGCATGCAAAGTTAATAGAATGTCGGTTATTAGGTTGTGTTTCCTACCTAGAGGTGATTATATTAAGCTAAAATAAATGTCCGTAAACAAATATATTTATTACAAACACTCTTAAATCATGATTACATTATGACTTAATGAGTTTTGTGTAGCAGAAAAAGATCTCTTTGAATGAGTCGGCAAAAAAAGGGGAAAAAAACGAAAAATTGTTTTCAGCTCGGTTCAGCGGAAAGACAGAATATATTAAACTTTCGAAAAAAAAAAAAAAATTTTTTTTTACATAATACGCAATGAACTTAGTCACGAATTCTTATAGCAAAAATTTGTCAGAAATGTTCAAATGGTTTCTCTTTTTTGTGAAAATCTTTAGGCCAACTAGATTAACCATTTGGTTTAACCGCTCATCCTAATTGACAGTCCTAGGATTAAACTTCTTCGGTCTACATAAAATTTTAATGATAATAATGATAATAAAAACCGGAAAAAGGTAAATCACTGGAATTAGTATACGATAAGAACATGATGACGATAAAATCTGTATCATAACCATTTGTTTTTCTTTTTGCATCGGCTTGACCCACTTGCAATTTAGTTGGTTTCAGTACGCACTTTACACCGCTTTGTAAGCAGTTTCCCGTCTTTACGCGACCTCTCAAAGCATGTACTTACCACGTAAATTGAGTGATATGTGTATCCATTTTTTATTTTTATTTCTTTTTTTTGCAGTCTACACCAGTTATGGTACAAAGGCATACTAAGTTTGTGCGGATGTACGCAACACCCATAACGACTTGAGGTAAATCGACTTTTCATTATTACATTGACCGATTCTGAACCACTTTCGGATTCAATCTAAGTTTGTCTGTCCATCTGTCCATTTGGTTTTTTCTTTGTTGTGCTCAACCTATATAATACCTATATATTTTGATGAATTTGGTTTTCCTAAGGACGGATCCCATTGAAAGTGGTTAGGACCAGACTATTGTTTCAACCATTTTTCATATGACGTCTTATTTTGAAAAACACTTGCAGTTATTCATATAACTGTAAAGTTGAATAGGGTACTTAATTTTGGGCCATGGCCCTACACTATAGTGTTTTTAGTTGTTTATTTCAGGTTTGTCAATAACGATTGATATAAAAAAAGAAACGCGGATGCAATTATTTTAAGGAAACAGGAAAAACGCAAACGTATCATATATAAAACATTATATCGACTAGTATTGAGCATAAGACAAAGCCACCGCTTATTGCTGCTAAAAGCCTCACAGTACTTGTGAATTTAAGCATTAAACATATTTTAAAAATAATAATAATAAAAAGAAAAAGAACAAACTCAAGGTTTTTAGCTTCGACTTTTGCTTCCTTTTCAAAATTCACTTCGCAGCTTTATCAAGGTAAATAATTTTGCTTTTTTACTATTATGTCAAATTTCGACAAAATAAATATCGGGTGTTTAATATGTTATCTGCAGGCACTAAATATTAGATATGAAAATAATGAAATAAAAACTGCTGCTGCTATTGAACCAGAACTTCACACCAACAACGATATGAATTATGAGAATTAATCGTACAATGCGTAAAAAAAAGTTCATAGTTACTGATGATGGCAGTCACCAACATCAATACCAATCAAATGATTTTCTTCTGTTATCTCCGTTCATTTTTTTATACACTTACATAGGACAAAAACAAAAAAAAAAGTACGGGTCAGGTTTCATGCTGCAGATGCTAGGGCGTGTGAAAGACATATCGACTAACACATCTATTATGACTTCGGTCATATCAGGTAACTTATATGATTTATAGATGTCTCGCCCGAGAAAACGGCAGCATAATTTAGTTTTAAATGATTTATATGAAAGACAAGGGTCAGTTGATGTTGTGCGGCCAGCGGTAAAGGAAAGAAAGCAAAAACATAAACACAAAATCCAACTTAAGATGTGGGAAGACAAGAACTGAGATTATTACAAAAAACGGAAAAAAATATAAATGAAAAGTCTCCTTACAAGACAAAGCTACCAATATTGGGGGCATGCGTCAACTGTCAAAATTTCTCACTTTTTCACCAAAGCACGCATGTTCAAGAAAGTCGTGACTTTTTGTATATTAAACTAATAGAAATATTCGGAATTGCTTCTAATTGACGGTTAGTAGTGTATGGCGCTCTTTGCGCTTTGTTGTTTGCTCCTTATGTTCTTGTATTCTAAGCACGCACTTTCCATATTTTCAACGAATTTTTACATTTACTTTAATAAGAGAGAAATTTCAATTAAATCGTTTTATGTATTTCTAAATCCAAGGTTCAATGAACTCCCTTGAACACAGTAAATTTGCGTGTCTAACGATCACCGCCACAACTTTTAAGCGTTTGATTCCAATACGCGGCAAGCAAAACTAACTAAATGTTATTTACCGGCGTAAGAATAAATTCCGACCGTTCTTTTTTTACCCAAAAAGAGGAAAAAATATTTTATTCAAAGCGTTGATCGTTGCTAGCGGCACATTTTTCCTTCTCTTTGATGAAATGCAAATTGCGTGCCGGGAAAGACAATCTTCTCGCTGTCCCCTAATTGAAAGGCCAACGATATACGGCATGACCGTCAATGTTTACGATATTGCTAAGCTGCCAAAGTTTTTTTCTATTAACGGTTTTGACCCAATAGAACCTTCCTTTGAAGTAAGCAGGACGAATAATACTTATCTAGTTTAGTGCAGCA